CGCGCTCAAAAGCTTCAGAGTCTTCTTTTCTCGAACACTCTGGGTTTTGATGACGACCCGCTTAACATTGACGAAGATGTTGCAGACGTCTTGGCGGCTACATTCCTGATGCACTACCCAGATATGCTGCGCTTGTGTGAGGCTGCACCGCTTGTCTTGAAGATGCGAGAAGCGATGGCTGCACGAACAATCGGGGAAGCGGAGGTGTTGGCGTGGAGCTCGAGTATTCGCCGGGTGTTCATGCCACCTACAGAGCTGAAGCCATCGCCATCCGACACAGACCAGATCTCGACATTGCTGCAGCATGTACAGCACCAAACAGAGAAGATTGAAGTACTTATCCTGCAAAACAAGCGGCTAGAAGAGCGACTGTTAGCAGTAGAGAATCATATGCAAGTACCTGTGTCCACCTCGTCTCAGGATCCGCCAAGCGTACGTGCATCGTCTTCAGCAGCAGAAGGCCAGTCGACGACAAAGGTTGCTCGAGCTAAGAAGAAAGGGTCGCAATCCTTGGCTGCGATATGGTTCGAGTGGTTTACCGCTGAGCCTCGAGTGTATGCTTCGCCTGTCGTAAAGAAGACAACGCTCTACGAATTTAGACATATCACAGGCTACATGATGCTCTTCTTACCGACGGGCTTTGCCCTGGATGTAGCCTCTCCAGCTTACAAAGACAAACAACAAAAGCTACACTCTTACTTACAATTTTTGCTTTGACAAAACGAGAGAAGGATCATTCTCGATTTGAGTCAGCTTAGTAATACATATATATGCGAAGCATGACAGACACATCCATATTAACAGGCTACGTGCTGTAGTTTCATTTCTATTAAAGTTTAGCTGTATTTTTCATTATGCAAAGTTGACGCCGGCCTCTTCGTCGTGCACATGCCAGTCAATTCCTCACCTGTGCATCTTCTTCTATGATTTGGGCTGTGCTAATTCGTGCCCCAAGCATCATTCGTACTATAATTAAACCTCGCAACAGACTGACAAAGCAACATCTCCACTGGTTGATAAAAAGAAAAACTCGTTTGTAGATCATACACTACATGTCAGGGGATGGATGAATACTTTCCAGCTCCCACTCGTCGTGGTGAATAGTTGAGATATGCTTATTAAACAACTTACGGCTATAGTTACTGTAGCCATACGGGTATATGTATCGGTATAATCACATACTTACTAGGTACGACAAGTACTAATAACGGATTTCACGGAATAGTGGGCCCCCATCACTTTTCAATATTGTTCTTAAAATCCAATCACTTTTGAGAGGGGATTCTAAACAGTGCAATGTTACTAACTGAAAAAGTACCTCGGTCTCTAGTACTACTAGTAATAAGGCTTTTATAAATTGAATCCACAACAAAAAGCGAAGCAGATCTACAGAAACAAATGTGCTGGAGTATAAACCTGAATGGATTGATGAGAAAAGGAATCCAGCTATTTGCTTCAACTGTTAGAGAGGGCTTATAACATGTGCGGGGCTTTATTTTTTGTGCAAATTCTGAATAGGGTCACAATTTTCAAAAGATTCGGTGAAATCTGTCAACATCGTACCCATTGATCTCAACTGTGTTAAATATGTCCATCAAGGCTAGCGAAGACATGGTAGTAGATTTTACAACCATCCATTGTCCTACCCAAATATTCACATTAGACTATCGCGCTCAGCTCAAGGTCGCACAAATGTTGCCCCTGGCCGACACAGGCAACATTCACTGAAGAATCGCTTTTGGAAGGCTATAAATTTTCTGTACTACAGTACATCAATCGTTCCACTTGTAAGTCCCGTGCATAGCGATCCGAAAAACGAACCGCAAATGACAGGGTTTACCTATTAGATTAATCATACCAGTTCTAGGAAATTCATTAATCATACCAGTGATTCAGATCAACTCAGTCAGAGTTGATCTGAATCACTAGTTACTGCCAATATCATTGGTATTGTATTGTATTGTAAACGCGTTTCGCGAGCCGTCTCGCCACCGTAGTGGGTCAACTTCCGCATGCGTCGGGTTATCTCTCGTACTCTTCGATTCTCTCATCTCTCGGCCAGAGTCCGTCAAGCGGTGTGTGTGCAATTAGCGCCTCTGTCCACCCTGCACGATCATGGGCGCAGAGACGTAGGAGGTAGAGATCTGGTGCACGCTGAAGTCGGTGACCGGCAGAGAGTGTCTGGAGGTCGGCATCAAGGACCATCGGGAGCGTATCATTGGTACTATCACTATTACTAGACCAATAGTAAATGAAGACGCTGCATAGTGTGTGGTGATCTGCTTGTAGGGAGCCTATATCTCCCCACTCTACCTCTGCCTGGAATCAATTGCATGAGGCCATTTACGTCTGCGCACTGACAAATCTATTCGTCCGTGCTTGGGCTGGCTTCAAAAAAGTCGCGTCCCTTTGAGTGCAACGGTCGCTCATACCCTCCTTTCAGCACCATGAACGTCAGATTAAAGCGGTGCACGCCGCGCGTGTACTCGATCGCGCTGCTGCTGTCGCTCGGCCTCATCGCAGTCTACCTGGACTCGAAACTCGCGTGGAGCACGCTTCCGTCACCCAAGCACGTGTTCCGCAGCTTCGGTCAAGCCGCACATAATGAACCTCATCACGTCGACAGCATCAAGCTGCAATTAGCGCAAACGCTAAACAATATCGCACAGAACACGTCACAGCCTCGGGGAATTGTCATCCCAGTCTACGAACCGATTGTCAAGCTCGCAGCGTCGTTGATTCTAGAGCTACGAACCATGGGCGTAGACGCACCAGTGGAAATGCCATACTGCGGAGATGTATCAATTGAATCGCAGACGCTGTTCATGCAAAAGTCAGCACTAGGATCTATCAGATATTACGACGTCTGCGAGCTGGCTGCAGCTGCGGCTATTGAGGGAAACTCTACGAAAAAATTGTTTTGCGATAACATCGAGGCGTGTTATACCAAGTTCCGATCTTTCGATATTAAGGTCATCTCAGTCGTATTCTCCAACTTCGAGGAGATCATGATGATCGACGCTGACACAGGGTTCTTTGTAAGTCCAGCGGTGTTGTGGGGATCGGAGAAATACAAGGCCACGGGCACGTTGCTCATGAACGACCGCACCGCACACGAAATCTACTTCATGGCCGAACGCGTCGGTGGGTCTGGGAATATTTCGTTTCAGCATCGATACATGTCGAAATTTGATCCTGCGCCGTTCCGCTCCATCCCCACACTGGAGCGTGATAAGGCTACACTTCCGAACCCTGTTCCGGTCAAACTGAAGTTCGGACCTAGCGACTATTTACTCACCAGCCACTCGTGGAATCTTCGTACTGGTCATCAAGTAGATTCTTCCATCTTGTTCTGGAACAAGAAGAAACAACCACGAGCTACTGCAATTTTAGGATCTTTTAAGGCTCTCGGTGATATTGGATCGCCTCCGTCTTACGGTGACAAGGAACTGTATTTCTACGCCGCAGAACTGGCAGAGACACAGTACTCTTTCTCGGATCACGCTATTGGAGCTGTCGGCACGGACTACCGCGACCACGGCGAGAAGAACTCGACTCTTTGCGGCGATATGGCTCAGGTTTTTCCTATTAAACAAGCGAGTGAGGACGACGTGCCGTTGTTCTACCTGAACAGCGACCGAGTATTGCATTTCAAGCCGGAGGTTGAACCCGTTTACTATATGAAGGCTCGCATGGCAGATGTCTACCTTGGAGCATTTGGTGAACGTCGAATGGAATGTCCGTTCCAGATGACGGGAGCCCGGTTTTCCGATGCTGAAGCAAGGCACCTCACAGGTCGCCAGCGGTTGCATGAACTTGTGATCATGTGGGAGAACATCGCCCAGGATAATACAAATGACCCACAGACTAAAGAAACTAGAAATGTTGCTGCTGACGGAATGGTAGACGAGAAGATGCACGAAATGAGAGAAGCGTATCGACAAGTTATCATCCCAAACGTGTAAACCGAGCAAAATAGAGATAAAACAACGCATTATTCTGACATGCTTTCCTACTAGATATCCACTACTGTCCAGCCCTACCGCTGAGGCTGATACGAATGTTTTTGCTTGCTTAATACCGGGTTTTCACAGCCAGTTGATAACTTGAAGGCGATATGTCATACGCAGCCTGCAGGTTTCGAGCGTTCCAGTTCTCAAATTCCACTTTGGTTGATGCAATGACCAGTTTCCCAAAAATTAAAACGTGTCGGATACACCAGCCAATGATCACGATCGAGTTGAGACCAATGAACGCATTTGCAACCCGATCAAGACCAGGAACCGACAAGGTTGACATCGGAAGAAAGGCAAAAGCCAATGCTAGATTCACGAGCTTGACGGTAGTGATCACGTAGGTACCGCGCTTGACGAGCAAAGTGCCATCTTGGAACGGGTTGGTCAAAAAGACCGCAACCAGAAACATCACGTGAAGCGTAACTAGCAATACAAGGATCACCATGCTGTCGTCCAAGAGACCCAAGCACATGCCCATGCACACTTGTTGAGCAATTACCAGCAAAAAGAAGAGACGTCCACCATATTTACAGTCGGCGTAGAACACGCCCCAGAGAGCACGTGAGCGAAACCTCCGTAAGTCGCGCTCCGTGCGGTGCAATAGAATCCGCACTACCACGATAGTGACTCCACAAATGACCAGGATCAGTACCAAGAACGCGACTACAAGTGGCCACAATTCCAACATACCCGATTTGAATTCCATGGATATCTCAAATGACACCGTCATGGTCAGGGGGAGAAGCGAGAAGAACCAGACTAACGGCACCAGACCCAAACAGCGCCAGATCACACCTCGGCGTCCTTTTTCCCCGATATGTTCAAGCCACCTGTTGTACATCGTCGCTCCAAATACAATTCCAAGGAAGAAGCCAAGAGCTAACGCGAACCCAGAGATGGTCTCGTACATCATCTCAGTTTCACTCGTTCCAATGCGGTCTCCATACCCCACTAGACCTCCGAGAATAATAGTTGTGAGGCGACGTCCAGACGCAGGGGAATCATCTTGAGCACGATAAACGAGGAAATTAGCCCACGAGAAAAGATCGGTGAACTCCCACAAGAAATACGGGGTTTTCAGGAGAGTCAGCGCAGAAATCGCAGCGATCTGTTGGATGTATTGCACGTACATCGCAAATTCCCAAGTGTTCGGAGTCCACTTGGATCCGGTAGGAAAATGACGAGCAAGTCCCTTATTGAGCACTTCAAAGTGAAAAACCATTAAAAACATGATTGAGACGATGGCCGCCGAACAAACTGAAAAGCGCAACGTGTTGTGGAAACTCGAGCTGGCAGCGTACAGACCAGTCTGAGCTTCCGTCTGCCATCCACGCTTTTTGCCCCCGATTACAAGTGGCGAGCTTCCATATCCACCTTCTGAAAATATGCTGCTGCTACCTTCATCGCTGATACTAGTGAATGTCGGATCCCCGCGTATGTATTGCTTTCCCTCTTCTGTTGCTGCATCCATAGTTTGAGCTGACAGCGCCTCGGTTTTTGTTGCTTGTTTTACTTTTTCCTTGCGCTTTTTGTCGCCTGTTGTGGTACTCCCAGCAGTTTTCTTTGTAGATATTGGTACGTCCACTTCGCTGGTAGGAATTCCTGTGGTGTCCATGTCGATCCCTGAAATGTCTTTAGTTACGATCGGTTCATCGCTGCTCGTTCCATCTGCTGTTCGCTGAGAATCATCACCGCGGGCTGTTAGCGGATCGGTTGCAGAGTCTTCCACTCGCCCTGTCAGCACAGATCCCGGTTTAATGTCTACATCTTTCACATCTCGAAAGTTTCGTGATTCATTATCAAATTTGATATTACCGGTGTCATTGTCCTCTTTGTTCGCGTTGCCATTAGCATTGCCGTTCGCGTTCGCATTGCCATTAGCATTGCCGTTCGCGATCGCGTTGCCACTAGCATTGCCGTTCGCGATCGCGTTGCCATTAGCATTGCCGTTCGCGTTCGCGTTGCCATTCGCATTGCCGTTCGCGTTGCCATTCGCATTCCCGTTCGCATTGCCATTCGCATTGCCATTCGCTTTACCGTTCGCGTTGTCATTACTATTGCCGTTGTTCGACGTACTCGAACTGCTCACGGTCTCGCCGGTAGCCGACGATGCCAACACCGGTATGTTGCCGTTAGCGTTGCCATTCGCATTGCCGTTCGCTTTACCATTCGGGTTGCCATTAGCATTACCGTTCGCGTTCGCATTGCCATTCGCATTGCCGTTCGCGTTCGCGTTACCGTTCGCGTTGCCATTCACGTTACCGTTCGTGTTCCTGCTCGTGTTGCCATTGCCA